GTTGAGCGGTAGCTACATACACAGCAGTTTTACCGACACAATATGTACAGGGTGAATGTGGTGTCTAGTCCGATGTGGAAAACAAGTGAGAAACCATAAAGGGGAAGAGGACAAAATACCTCGTTGTGTTATACTGCATGGTCAAAGCCTGAGTATGAGGATCAAGACCCCCCCCCTCCCGCACCCGACCAAACTCATCTAGTATCGTTGTGCTTGGCTCTTTTCGCACGGTTGAAGGAGAAGAAGCCTCCTTTGGTGATCGACCTCCTCCCCACCTGCTGGAGAATACGGACGATCTCTACGGAGAGGCTACGGCACGGGGACGGCCACAAGAAGACTGGCAACCTGCAGTACTGTTTTTCCTCAAGACAGGTGGGTCGAAAGCTCAACACGTTGCGGGATGCGTAGAGTTTTCTGGCGTTGTTTCTGTCGGTGAGGTGTTCACGAGACATGCCAAGTGTCGGGGTGAGTGGGGCACGTTAACGTGTCAACACATGGCTTGTGTCGTCGATTATTTTGTTAGTGAGGACCTTCATCTGCTGTGCGAGACGTGCTGGCGCTAGATGCAAGACACTTTGTAGGCGCTGTCTGTTTGTTTTTTGTGGTGCTCACCTGGAACCCAATGTTCAGCTACCACGAATCCCTCCGCAACGGCGCGTTTCTTATCCCTCTCCCCCAGACGGGGCGTGTTTGCTCTCACATAACGTGCAGTCCAGAAGCCGTCGAATTTCCCCAATAGGAACGTTCTTGCACACGTATTGGCGCTGAAATTCTGAAACCGTCAGATCATGCTGGATCTTGACAACGGCCGGTTTCCTCTAGCACTCATGTGGGCGCTTCCGGAGGTGATGCAAGAGGCAGGGACCGTTATCGCAGAGATCCACGTGAGCTATCTTTCCTTTCGTGTGGTTAGGTTGCTTTGAGTAGACACCGCTGCTGCAGGGTCCGTGCAGCAGCTCGGCGCGGAGCACGTGCTCTGTTGTCGGACGGAAACAAGAAACCGATGCAATCGAAGCGTGTTGTGTTGTATTTCAAGCGCAAGGGTACCAAGGACAACACCCAAGCAGCAATAGGTCTCGTTTCTCCTTTACTCCTGGTGCCGCTCCCCCTAGCTTCTTCGAGAGCACGATTAGGCTTTCCCCGTCCTCCGCACCCCTCTCCTTCAGTGGTGATGGTTTGTCGGCACTACGAGGTGCCCCCGGGGTCCAGGGGGATTCATAGGCATACATCTCTATAAGAACGATGCAGAAGAGACCGCGAGAGAGTACCTGAATGTGTGGGCGCGGGGTCTGCGGGGATTCATTCAGTCGCGGCAGGCTTACATCCCTTCAAGCGCGATGCAGAAGAAACCGCGAGAGTACCTGATAGTGTCGACGGTATCGGTTCCATGATGCAGAAGTCACCAGGCCTCCGTCTCGAAAATGATGCATCGTCAATGGCATAATTGCTGCTATGAACATAACATTGTGTCGTGAATACCAACCCGCCCCCAACCCCGCATGCCAGGTCTATGGTCTGATGAATACTGAATATTGCATGCTTTATTAGCACGCCGACGCCCCGAAAGAGAAAGAAGTGTATTTGACTGACCTGGGAAAGGTAGAAGGAAGATACGGGGAGATGTTTGAGGCATGGAATAGCCAGGAGAAGACGATAGCTGTACTGGGGCATTGGAAGTGGGTTGAAAAGGCGAGAAGTGATGTCGACATGATAATTTAACTAGGGGAAACATTGAGCCACCTTTGTGCGGCAAGTAAGAAGCAAGGAATGATTACCCTTGGTGATCGGTGCTGTGGGAACAGTGCTCCGTCCTCTTGAGGACGCGTGGTCAATGGTCTAACCGCTCGGGCATGCAAAACATGAGAATACCCCCCCCCCCCCCCCCCCCCCCCCCCCCCCCCCCCCCCCCCCCCCCCCCCCCCCCC